TTCGGACCGCGAGGCATAGGCGGTGGCCCACGTCGTCCATGCCTTACGCCGCCCTTGGTCATAGAAATGATGTAATTTGAATATAAATTATTTATAAATACGTATGTCAAGTTATATTTTTATTACTACGTAAAATATATTTAAGAGTTTACGACCACTGTGATGGGTGAGACGTTGTTGAAACAAAAAAAGTTATGCATTCCATCACGTACAGTACATAAACAGTGTCGTAATTCGCCAAGTGCAAATCAGCAAATTCGTAAAATTTTTGTTTATTTTGAACAATCCAGATAATGGAGGTCCGGATAATGGAGGTTCTACTGTACATAAAATTTAAAATTTTGACCAACATTAGTTTATATAAGTTTTCATTAATTCATTTATGATTTTACATTATCATCATTTCTTTGCAATTTTTACTATCTAATAAAATTCAAAGTACAAATTAAATTCTAACATTACAATACAAATCTCTTTAAAAATTGAATAGAATTCAATTTGTATTCTATCTTGTATTTATCCTACTGTATAAAAAGACATTGAAAATAATAGAGTATAAAATTAAAATAAATCAACTATAATTGCCCAAAATTCAAATATATAATTTCTTAACTCTGTTTCAAGGTAAATAAAAGAAATACTGTACAAAATATTAAAACGTCACTCATTACCAATTAGCTAAAATGTTACAAGCTTCATAATATGATTATTTTTTACAAATGATTCATTTTAAAATTTATTTACATTATTTTTAATAAATAAGCAACTCAATTATTATTTTCAATACTATTTAAATTTTAACATTTCGCATTATTTTACAAATTAATTCCTAATTTATAAATATAATTCTAACTTGACTTCATCATTTATTAGAAAAAAACAACCAAAAGAAAAATAAGAAAATAATAAGTGCAGATGTAACAAATTAGAAAACACAAAATGCTCCAAATTCAAGAACAAATAAATATTTCTCTTTTATATGTCATAAAGTATGTACAGTACAAATTAACTAAACAACTTTTATATATTATTTTATTGCAGACAATATTTTATTAAATTAATTTAATTAGTTAAATACATAAATTTATCTAATTTTTAATAACAAAAATATCTCTTCAATTTTGTAGAAATTATTTTAACATACAATCAATATAATTTATTAATGCACTTTTCAAAATATTTTAATGTATGCTAGTATATTCTCCTATCACTTGTTACAGTGATACTTGAAATGATATGAATACTTAACTGTTCTAAATAAAATAATTGCCATCAAGTGAATAAACAAAATTCACCTGTAATTTAAAAATTTCACTATTATTCCTGAACAAGCACAACCTAAATTTCTATTTATCCAAATGTACTCTAGATAAAATATAGTAATTTTTAAGGAATGTGAATTTTGTACTGTTATTCTCAACTGTCAGGGGGCATCACATCGTCCCACACCTTTTTGTACCAATTTCCGCCATGTTGCAAACTAGCACAGAAGGCTTGTACTGGTCGACTGTTCTTTATATTTGTTTGTTCAATTAAACATAGTTTACAATCATTGTGTATCATTACACACAATCTCTACTCTCTTAACAGTAATATGTTATAATTTAATAAATACAGTGATTCTTTCCAAAAATTTAGAAAAAAATGAAAAAAGTTTAGTTACGTTTCACATATAATAAGTATATTAGAATGCATTTCAAATGTAATAATTTGTATATACTGTATATTAATTTAATTTAATTTTTTGCTAAAGTAAATTTATGAAACATTGTGATTCCAAATTGTGATTCCATGATTTATGATTACTGTTTTACAAGGTCTTGAAACAGCTTAAAATAATGTTATGTAATAAATCATATTTCAAGAATAGACAGTTTCACTCTACTATTACCAAATATTAAAATTTAACATGATTAAAAACAAAATGAAAATGTAAAATAATTTGGCTAAAATTCAATTTTGATTGTAACATTGTAAAAACAAGTAAAACGCCAAAGCCATTTTTGGGACAAGACTATATCTCAGAGACTCAGGGCTCAACTGCGCACCATTTTCTAAGAAAAAGAGAACAATGAGAAATCTCCAATGAGGAAAAGTTGACACCAGTACTCAAGATCCTGGCATAGATTACGGCAGGTTGCATTGCCGCCATGGTTATGACAGGTTGTGTTGTCACGGACCTGTTCTTGATTACAGTAAGTGGGATCACTTTGATGCTCATGGCAGGTCTCATTCTCATTCTCCAATCTTCTTTGTTATTGCTGTTTTTAAGCATGATCATTCAAACTTTGCCTGCCACGGCCATGACCACAAGGTCATCCATGATGCCTTTTAGATGAAATTAACCTATCCAATGTTGAAATTTCTCTTCTCGCCCCGTGTTGAATTTTTGTCGATGTCTAACAAAAATTTCCCATTTTTGAAAAAAATAATCGTGGCTATTGTATTGCCCAAAATTCCTTTTTTTTATTTTGCATAAACAAAATAAAAAAAATAAAATAAATATAAGCAAAATAAATATAAAAAACAAATTATATCGCATAAACAAAATAAATATAAAAAACAAATTATATTTTGGAAGTTAGTTTTAATATAAAATTATATTATAAAACCAGCACCAACTATTTTCAAAAACATTTTGATGCTAAAATAAGATATCTCTGGTCAATCTGTCAAGGTCAACAGGTCATGGCCAAAGATATGTTGGGAATAACACTGGACAGGTAAATGGTTTTTTCAAAGATTCATTTGTCAAAAATTCGCAATGTTCACATTTCCAAGCAACACATGCACAATTCTTACACTAGTGCCTATTTGTAGAAAGTGTGTCACCATTTTGTATTTTATTTTGACTCTGTTCTTGGTCCCAAGTACCTACAAGTCTGTTTTTTTTCATGTGTGCATGATTTGGGCATCAAATACTCTGTGCCAAATTGCAACTCCTGACATGTACTCCTTCATACCTTTAAGGTGGGCAGCCATTGACGGCACCACAATTTTATAAACAAGACAGTCTTGTCAATAAAGTATTACTAAGCCTACTTGATTAGTTATGTAATTACAGTTAAAATACAATAACAACAAATCTTAGAAATTTTACTATTGGGACAATAGAGCTTGATGTACTACTATACAGATTTTTACAGAACACTACAATACATGATGTCAGCAAGTATTCTGTGGCTTTCATATTATTCACATTAGTGCATTGTAAGCATAAATGAGAAATGCATTAACATGGCTTGGCTGTATGAATATATTTTCTTAAAATTAAATCAAATAGATATTTTCAAAAAGGCAACTTTATTGATTTTATTACATCAAACTAAATCACGTAAAAGGAGAATTGAATTTCTTTTTTAGATGGAATTAAACAAAAATCACGTAGAAAAAAAATCTGTGAAAACAGTTGGGTTTAATTAACTTTAGAATTTAAAAATATCATCAATAATACTACCGATATAACTAAAAATAAAATTTCAAGATTACACTATCATGAAAATACTTTATAATACTCCAAGAAAAAAATATCAAGAAAAAAAGTCTTAGTCACTATGTTTTCAATAAAATAATAGAATAAATTTGAAAAACAAGATAAAATATAGAAATACAAAACTATTTCATAGATTTATTTCTAAACTAAAAGCTTTATGGTCAAAAAATTAAATTGAGAGGACACTGACAACTATTCCATAACACAAATATATGAGATATCTCCAAAGTATTTCAGTTATTTTGTGGCCATAAAATACCTTTATATGAGATATCTGTTAATTATTTATTTTTATAATACATCACCAAATGATATTTAGGCGATCGTTTGGTGATGTATTTACTACTCGGGCTATGAGTTGTTGATATTTATATATACAGTAGAACCTCCATTATCCGGACNACGAGTACAAATTCAGAAATATGTATACGTACAGTACCTAATCACGGCACACCATCGTATTCTTTTACAGTTCAAATGTTGTCCATCGTTATTTTTATAAGAAAAGTAACTGCATTTTACTATAGAAATATTAAACGACTAAATACGGATGTAAGCATAGAAGCTTGCAATTCCCATGCATCCTGCCATAGTTTGAAAGCTTTCGGGATTATCAATTTCTTATCTGTAACCGAATATGCCAAAAATTTGTTATATAGTTTTATGCATTTCTGACAGTTTTTTTTTTAACTCTTTCCACTTTGTGGACTGTAAAATAGCCTTTTTCCATACCCTCAATGGTTTAACCATCTCTGAATGAAATTGCAGGATAGTGAGGGACAGGGCCCAACATATTCATGAATACCAGTGAAAAATTTCTCGGGAGTTGCTTGCCCAGATTCAATTCAGATCCACTATCACAGATGTATGTTAATGCTTTAACTCCTCAGCCCTCCAAAAGTATGTTATGATTAAGAATGGGCATCAAGAATGGAAGTATACACATCCATGTTTTTTCCTTAAATGCTATGATGTTGAAATCTCAATATAAACATGCTTTGAGTCCAAGTAGATTAAAGTTGCCTGATAATGCAAATTTTGTCATTTTTGAGACTAGATAAATGCTTTATAAAATTTATAGCTTGTTTGCATGACTTATGGCTATACACCATAATTTATATAAGTTAGTACAGTAGAGTCTCGAAAACTCGGCACTCTATAACCCGGCAGTCCAGATAACTCGGCCACACCCTGGCAGGGCAAAAAATCCTTAGTTAATTAATTTTCATTATAGATAGCTTTATGCCTCATAAAGTATTTTTCTGAGGTCTGACTTATCAAGTAAATTACTGTACACAGTGTATTCATTAATTTTCATCTTCATGTAGTAAAGGCTCTATGCCTTCATAAAGGACGTACTTTTCCTTTGTTTAAGGGTATTTGGGCAGTTTATTTTCTGTTGTATTCTCAAGTAAACAATACATACAAGTACAGTACAATATTTTCTGAGGAAACACGCATACTTATCCTTTTTTTAACCCCATTCCCGATAACCCGGCATTTTCACAAACTCGGCCACCCTTCGGTCCACATTAGGCCGAGTTTTCGAGACTCTACTGTATTCATTTTTCTTTTCCCTTATCTTCTTTCCCGTTTCCTTCTATTATCTTGGTGCTGTCTTTCTTTTTTGCCAAGGGGGTTTGCTCCAATTATGGGATAGAGCCTTCCCTTTTCCAATTAAGAACCATCCAACTGGTTTCATGGTTGGCATATAAAGAAATGAAGGAATCTCAAAGAGACACTTTTTGGATGGGAGCAGAAGAGAGATGATGTTTGGCACAGTTTAGCAGGAAGGGGTAATTGTATGGCAAGAGACCTTTGTGGTCTGAGAAGCCAAGAAGATTGAACACTTGATAGGATATTGTGAATTTTTAGAAACTCTTTGGAGAGAAGACAACATCCCCATTCAGGTTTTTGACATAAGAAAAACTTCTGAAACATGTGTGCCCATTTTTGTTTGAAAAAGACTTGATCAAACAAAACACTTGGGTACACTCTTTGTTCTCTTTCACTTGTCTTTCTATCCCTAACTTTTGCCCTCTATTGGTAAAAATCCTATTACACACTAGAATTAAAATTAGTATTAATAGTTTTAATCATTTAGTCCACTGTTCTTGTCCTCACTGTAGTCTTCTGTTTTACTTAAAATATTTTATATGCATTTTTATGTTTTTTTTTTTGTTTAATTTTATTGTATTGCACTTTAGTGTTTGTTGGGAGTATGCTCCTTGGCTGACATCATGGGTCATATGTTAGTTGCCTGTAAATATTTCGTTGTCATTGTTAATAAAATTCTGTTTGTATTTCTTATTGCATCACAACTCGTTTCTTGAAATCATACATCTCAGACTACATGTGCTAATTTTTTCAAATGATCTATAGTCCATTTCTGCTATCTATGCAGTGAATCTTTTCTGCACATACACATTCACATAAGAAATATCATTCCTCCATTCTAAATACAGAGGAACACACAAAATTCAAATTTTTAAATTTGAATCATCTAACTTCCATTGTTTTAAAGTCCCACAAACAAACATATTTTGCATTGTTGTAAAAAATCTCTTATTTTCCAAATTCTCAAAAACCTTTGAATCAATTGGCTTGAAATTATTGTAAATGTTAAATTAAAACTTTCAAAAAAAATTGTCTAAATATAATGTTTTAATAATATAACATAAAAGGGAGATAATTTCTTGTGAGTAAAGTCAAATTTTCATGTAGGAAGCATGCACAGATTTGATTCAGTTATAGCAGCTTTGGTTCAACCTACAATATGGGTAAAACTTCAAAAACTAATGTCAACAAAAAATGTACAGAAGTTTGGATTCTAGACATTTAAAACAGATGGAAAAATTCTTTATTGTAATGTATGCCCTGCAAAAAAAAACAATTTCAAGTGTCTGATAATGTTGAAACATCCTTACTTCAGTGCAACATGAAGCATCAAAACAAGCAAAAACAGTAATTGATCACAGGTAAGTTGCAGTTGCACTGAAACTAACAAGAGTTCATGTCAAAGTTAATAGTAATGTTTTGTACCCAGTTGGGTACAAAACATTACTATTAACTTTGGCACAATCTATAATTAGTTACTAAATTGGTAAGAACATTTATTCATTTCTCATCATTTGTACAAGCCTGTAAACAAAACTATACTACTACTTTAGACCAGTGGCATAACTATAGAATAAGAAAAAGCAGGGTAACCCAATAATCCTTAAATATCTTGATAACAATTGTGTATATAAAAACAAACTCAATAATGACTGATTAGATAGAATACATGGAATTATAAAATTCTATTGAACATGTAATTTTATTTGTGATTAACTTGATTGTGCACCTCCTATAAAAATATTACTCTAAAGCAAAATACAAATGCATTTCAATCTATGAATTTTAGTAAATTTTACTGGTACTTTTAACATGCAAAATGTCTATTAATATACCTATATCTGGCATTTTTTATGTGCATACATATTCATACATATTTCAATTTAAATGCACATAAATACAGCCTTTAAGTTAATCGTGATCAATCATGAAACAAGCAATATTAACTTACAGCTTGTTTCACAAAATCTTCCAGGCTGTAAAAATACACAACAGAGGAACCAGTCTATTCACTTAGAGAAGAAAACAGATTGTTTAAAGAATCTGTGACAAGATCACTGCAATACCAAAAAGGAGCTCTTGAACTTTAAACTTCCAGAGTCCTAACCAAGCACTGCACATTGCCTGACCAAGATATGTGAAACAATATGCAAAATAATTTACTTTGAGGCATTGTGAAAAAAATGTTTCTCAATTCTAAACAATTGAAGACTTTAGAACAGTTATCAAAGGCTAAGTATTATAATTACTTCTAATCATTAATATAGAAAATAATATCTAAACCTGCATGGGAAAAATTAAAATTTCTTTAGAAAACGAGGAAGATCATAAAGATAATTCTTTAGAAAACGAGGAAGAGCATAAAGATAATTTCTTTAGAAAACGAGGAAGAGCATAAAGATAATCAGCAGACTTAGGGACTTTATGATCACTTAATACAATAATGAATGCTGAAAATAAATGAATGCAACAACAGCAGATATCTGATAACAAATATCTGTATAAAAAGTAAGCTGGAATGGAGATCAACTGGCTGGAAACAAAAATGACAAGTCTGTTTGCCAAATTTATACCAAGAATTAATATTCAGGATATGATATCAAGAATCAACATTCTAGGATATTATATAAGAATCAATATAAATTCATATTTTAAACCCGATACTATTTAAATAAATCATCAGTATTTATAAATATTATAATATAAATAAATCATCAGTATTTATAAATATATAAATACTATACATATGAAGATTAAAATATATTTTAAAAATTTAGAGAAATTTTCTACCGCCTTATTAAAGTTAAATAACTAGGTATAATTACATCTCCGAACGAGACAGTCAGGACAACCATTCACGGAGTACTCGACATTATATAATTTTAGGAAGTATAGGTACTTGCTCCACGTGGGTACCAAGGTGCAACATTGAGCATTGATCAAAGCTCACTATCACTCACCTTGACTGATGTGGAGTATGTAGAATAGATAAGAACTGATCTTTGGAGGAAAATATCTCACAAAGGGACAAATATACAGAGATGGTTCCATTGATTTTTTTGCTGGTACACGGGGTCTAACTCTGGGGGGTGGTAAATTCCTCATTCAGAGTTCACATCTTACCAATAATTAATTACAATTATAAATGATAAACTTAGTAAAATATATTTTAAAAATACAAAGTTTACATTAATAAAAATTTGTTATATTTACAATTTATCTCGAATTTTTTTAATATACTTTGAAATTTTCGAAAATATAAAAATGGGTCCTAAAAATATTTCATAATGTCTATTTTGGTAATTCTATTTTTAGAAATATCTACAAAATTTCAAGCTAATGATAAATAACATTTACCTTGCATATCGGGCATATTTCACAGTTAAGATATTTTTATCGTAACGAAATTCCTGAAATTAAAAAATGTAATGCTGTGAAAAATGACCAATTTCCCCTTTTGAATATTCAATATAAGTATAAATGTCATCAAGGAATAATTTAAAAGTTTCTATCTTATCTTTTATTTTTATGTTACTATTAATTCAGGCCTCACCTTAAAAATCTGTGATTAAAAGTTTCATAAACAAAGTCAAAATGTATTTTCCAACATCGACGATGACGCAATGTCTGCCCTCTAACTGTCAATAACGACACTAAAAACAACGTAAATTTTTCTCTCTGTTTTTTTAAAAATTCATTTATTATTTTAAAAAGTTATGTTTAATATTAATAGTTTTAAATTAAATATGTATTTTATTAATACACAAAAATAATTTGGTTTTTTTTCTTTCATTTTAACTCTTCTCCGATTACGATCGGTTTCCCCGAATCTTATCCGAGTCACTCTGTTCAATTGTGGGAAATAAATTATAGCTAGAAAGTTTTTATTCTTTCTTCCCTAGAGACTCTAAGAGGATAGCGGGTGGTGAGGGCCCGACACATCCTTCTCCAAACAATTCCTATGGGCTTTCTGATCGGGCCCCGCCCCTCACCATCTAGCCACTCCACTGTAAACCTTTTTTTTAAACTCTCTCCACCCTGTGGGCACTAAGAGGGCCTCTTTTTGCAAGCCAATTATGAATTCGACCATTCCCACAATGGAGCTGCTGGGTGATGAGGAACAGGTTCCAACATATTCAGAGGGACCATTTCCGGAAAAATTCCTGGGGATTTTTCGACCCAGTTCAGATTTGATCCTGGGTCTCCCAGAGCGGTAGGCTGCCACCTTGACCTCTCGGTCATCCGGCCGCCAACATTTTGAAGTTATTTAAAGTAAGGGCTAAAGAAGTTTTTAAAATCTAGTCGTCTTCATGATTGTGATATGATAAGTCTTAATTAATTAGTAGCCAAGATTGGTAGCTATATTAGTGAAAAAAAAAAAAATATTTAACCAATCAGAACTCAAGTATTTAAAGTAAAATGAATGTTGATTGATTGCCTTCGACTCTAAAGTCTGTTAGAAAATACAGTCGTAAGAGAACTTTCAACACATATTGAACTTAAAATGATTTAAAGTTGGACCATTTTAATAAAATCAGTAGTTTGATTATTTAAGACAGTTATAATATATTGGTATAGCATTTCAAACTGTAATAAATACATTGAAAAACCAACTATAATGAATGAAAATTGATTGTTCGTTCATTATATTTGGTTTTGATTGTTAGGTGAATTAATTATTCGTTAACGATGCAAACGCTTGCATTTCTTGATCAAACATAACTTAAAAGATTTTTTATTATAAGACGGACCGATTCATAGGACGAAAACATCAAATTTATATACAGGCATTCCTTACCAATAGCAGGTATTACGTTCCAAAAGCATGGCGCAATTGATAAAACTGCAGTTGTCAATTTTTTGATGTAAATATTTTTTTCAATAATAAATCAAATTTATTACGAACTCTTTAAAGTAGCCGAAAATTGATTTATAAATAGATTTAACAAAAAACTCGTGTGATTTTTTCCTAAGCAGAAGTTTTTATTTTTTTAATTCTTTCGGCTAAAGATGTGTTTCTAATTAACGAATGCATTTATTCTCTAATTAAACTTATACCGAATTTTATTATAATCAAGAACAACTTCTAAATAAATAATTCGCATTTTTCATTTATTTAATTGCTGAAATGATTTTTAAAGAAATATTTATTACAAAAAAAAATCACAATTATAACATATCGTTATGCAGATTATATTTGATCGCAAATGTGTGCGTGTTAACATCGTGAAAGAGCGAATCGCGATCTTTTGGATTTTAGAATTTTTTTCTTTTTATTTTTTTTAATTTTTAGGTATTATTTGTAGATTGAGTATGTGTACAATTGACCAAATTGAACAATTTAGATTATCGAGAGGTACGAAATAGTTTTCTAATTATTCATACTTTCATATTTATTTGAAGTGAATAATAAATATTTAATGGCTTAAAGTGATTTATATCGTTTTCTAAACTTTCATTTAAACATATAATAGTTTTACTTTTTAATATATATTTTTTTTTTTCAGTAATACATTCTTCGTGTGTCGTGTGTGGGCACGAGGCATATTCGGATTATTATGGAAATTTTGCTTGTAAAAAGTGCATAAAGTTTTTCTTAAGAAGCATACATTTTAGAAAAATATATAAATGTAAAACCAATTCAGGAAAATGCCGAAATATTTATGATAAATCGCCATCGTGTAAATTTTGCTTTTTAGAAGAAATGTACAAGTTAGGATTGAATCCAATAAGATTCGGTAGACACGATAAAGGATGGTACATGAAAGATAAAATTCCAAACTTACGTAGAGTACCTGTGATTGGAGAACTTGAAGTAAGTTACTTTTAATTAATATAAAATATATANGTGACTTGTTTTGAAGAGCAGAGATCAGTGACTTTGTTCAATTTACTCATTTCGTAATATAACACATTACAGTTACCTCATGGTCTTCTTTTGGCAAACTTCTCAAACAACTAACAAAATCATGACTTATTTTTCCTGCAGTTACTATTCCCCACTTGGTAGCCATTATTTTCATGATTTTTCATCAAATGTTATTAAACAAAATTTCAAATTAACTGAAAGTATAAAATTAAAAGTTTTTAATCATATTGTTCATAAATAAAAGTAAATATTAAATAAAAATGATATTATTGTGATTAATGAAATCTTATTGTGTATTTATTAAATTTTATAAACATCTCAAGAATCCTTATTAAGTTTTAAAGGATGATCAACAAATAACCATCTGATGACAATAAAACATAATGAAAACAGAATGAATTAAATCATCTTCAAAACATTTGCTTTATTAAGAGTTTGAAATGGTAACTTTAAAACAGAAATCTTTTGCTTTCTTATTAAAATGTACTATTAGATAGAAATAATAAATACTGTAATAAAAACAAAAATGTAATTCTGGAAATTCCAATAAAAGTTATGAATAGGAAGGATTAAAAACATTAGCTTCAGTGATTGCCTACAGGGATAGATCTATCTATTGTTAATACTTTGTCATTACAGCTAATTAGTCATATTAAAACATTAGTAAAAAACAGTCATATGCTCTAATATTTTGAATTTTGTTCATATTTTTTAAGCTCTTATAAAGTTTTGTAGTAATTAAAAACATTAGTTTCATTATTAAAAAATTCAGCAACGTATTGCTCAACTTTCTCGGTAACATTTAAAACTGCATATGGTTCCATCTGTTATATTAGTGTTATATAATTGTTATAAAGTGGTAAAAATCTTAATTTTGAGGGGAGAGATGAGTTTAATAAACCATTGTAAATGCTAATAAAGAGTAAAATCTTTAAGTCCGACCCTACTCGAGATATGATACATGACCTCCATCCCTCGACCTTTAACTATCAAAATTTAATAGCATCAATCTCCCTAATGTATAAGCCTCCCTGCAAAATTTCAGAAATTTTCGACAAAAAGAATTGGCGTTATTAGGCTTCATACGGTGAGCAAAATCGTGCTCCCACGTATGTACGTACATAAAAAAATACCCAAATTTGTTTGCACTTCTCGACTTTTCAAGATCCCCCTAAGTCCAAAAATGTAAAAATCTTGGGGCGATCATTTTTGACTGATTGCAATACTTTCCCTCTGTTATATAATAACAGAGCCAGGAAAGTAAAATTTATTAAATTGGTTTAATAATATTGCACATAAAGCATTCTTATACAATTATTTTAACGAATGTTTTTTTTTAATTGTTAGTGGAATACAAAAGCATGGAGAGATTTTTACAGATTAATATCTTATATGCATAAGAAAATTTTAAATTTTGTTCGATGGACAAATGAAAATCCGCCAATTTCCGGGCCGTTGGAAATTGATCTGCAGGTAATTAATAGTCGTTATTAGATACCTAATTAATATTGATAGTTGGTAAAAAAAAATAATTTTGTAATTTTTTTTCTTTCAGGATTTACAATATCTTCAATATGTGAGAAGAGGAATTTTAGTAGGAATGATAAGTGATTCTTTACATCGACACGATGTATTGAAAGTCGGAAATCTGTATTGTGATCCGTATAAATGTGAACATATATACGTGCAAAGATTTACAAGCGATATTTTAAATATTAAAAGAGAATTTGACCAAATTTTTCAGAAGAATACGCTCTCTGTTGAAGAAAAAAAGATGATTATTTATGTGAGTCATTTTCAATTTCTTGTAAGTAAGAAAAAGAGAAATCAAATTGATTTTTTAATTTGACTAAAACATAATTCTTTTTTTAAGGGTGAAGTTGAACAATTAATTATTCAACAATAGATAAATTTGCCGAATTTGTTTATATGCAAACGGACAACATTTATCAATTGTATTTTAAGCATATGTAAACTAAAAACTAATGTTTTATAAATCCGATTTAAAAAAAAAAAATCTATTTTAATAAATTTACTTTTACGAGGTGATTATAATGTCATACAGAATAAAATATGTCAGATTTAACTTAAATATTGTTTTATCTTTTGGCTTTGAATTAACCTAAAAAAGAGTATGTAGGCATGAATGTGGTACGTGGTGACGTTGTGGGAACTGAAGGGGACTGTGGGAACTGAAGGGAAGGACGTTGTGGGCCTGTAGGTCCTCTGTGCCCACAGAACGGAAAAAGTAAAATATAAATACTGTAAATCATAGCCAAACGTAAGCCTAAACTGTTTAATTAATTTTTAGGGTAGTTTTCACACTATCCAACTAAACCTTTTATTTCTTTCCGCTCAGAGCGCACTGACACATTATCCTAAACTTCCTTAAACCAAACTACCACCTAGAGCTGGTGTTGGAAGTTCGTTCCGATCTTTTCTTCCACAAGCTAAATTATTTAAATTCGAAATTCATTTTTAATTATTAATTATACATAGGCTATATGCAAATTAACAGCATTTACTTAAAATAAAATTGGATATTTAATCAATCTAAAATTATGTTCAATACGGCGTGAAAAATAATTTAACCCCCAGAGCGGTAGGCTGCCACCTTGACCGGTCGGCCATCCGGCCGACTATGAGTGTAGGTCAGTTACCTATACGCATACACAATTACTTTAACGTTTAAAATTTTTTTAATATAAATATTATTATATGAATTATTATTATAAAAATAAAACAGTAGTCAATTTTATTGTAAATATTAGAAAAAAATTTTGGTTTATTGTCGAGAATGCCATACTTAATTGCGACAAAAAGTTTTTTAAGTAAATAATTCATTTTATAATGTCTAACATATAGATTATTCGTTCCCTTCTTTCCTTTTCCCTGTAATTTGTTCGCTGAACTCAAACGATGATTTTAATTTTGATGAACTTTCTCTCATTGTCTTGTTTTTACTTGATATAATCGAAGGTTTTTTCTTTTTTTTGGAAGCATGTTTTTTTCGTAATTTATTGCTAACCCTGCTTTTTAATTTATTTGAATGTCTAGATCGTTTCTTCGCTTCTTTTGCTATTAACAACTTAAAACTAAGACATTTATTTAAACGATCGTCTTCTATATCCGAAAATAGATTTAATATAGGAACATCATCCACCAAAGAATAATTAGTTAATGCCATATTTTCAAATTTTTGAATAAATTTAGTTTTTATAGGAACTGAGTTATTAATAAGAGTGATTACTACATAATATTCTTCGTCGAGATGTCTTATTAATTCCAATATAATTTGAGGAGAAACCGTAGGAAAGAGAGTAGTCAAGCGAAAAAACGCATTCTTGAATTGTTTTTTTATAAACAATTGATCGTTAAATTCAGTTTCTTTCGTTCTACATTCACGATAAAATTGATTTATAAAATATTTTCTATTGAAAAATGTCCAAAAGATTGCTGTTATAATGCAAGTAATTATTAATACCAGGCAGAATAAAACAAAAAGAATTTCTGCATTAGATTTAACAGGAAAATATCTGTCGTAAAAAATCATTTCGCAATTTCCTACACTGTAATTCAAAAATGTATATATTTATTTATGTAAAGAACTAGATATTACAATACGTATGGGTAAATTAATCAGAATCGAGAAAAGATTGTGCCGTGAACTCACTTATTGCAAAATCCTTTATTTGAAAGACAAGCTTCGAACCAAATTCTTTTAATTTCATACTTTCGTGGTAAAGTAATATTCGAAAAGAAAGAAATTGGTTTACATTTCTTACGTTTCTCACAACATACATGACAAGCGTATTTCTCTTCCTTGCATAAACAGTCCTGAGAAATGACAATATGTTATTAAATAATAAAAAATAACGTGAAATAATTAAAATAGAATGGATAAACAATGCAAAATTAAGCGATTGTAAGGTATAACTTGAAATTGAATTCATTGATAATTCAATTCCCTGATGTTAATCAGAATTTTCGGCTTTAAAGAATGTCCTTTGAAAGAAATGTCCTTTTTATAAACAATTATATCATAACGCGTAACTAAAACTAAGGATAATTCATATATTAGAAAATATACGATTATTTTAAAAGAAATAAAAATACAAAATCAATTGATAATAGTAAAATATAAATTTTTTTTGGTTTTAAAATTAAAACAAATAGACAATTCGAAAAAGTAAAAATGAAAATCAAAGACTAATAAATCATTAAAAAAATAAATAAATAAATAAGTAAATAACATAAACAAATAAATAATAAACAATTGAGAAAATGGCTAATTAAAACAGAAACAAGAAATTTAAAAAACCTTTGCTTGTTTAATTAATTAAAGATTGTTCTTGTTTCTACATAAATAACAGAAGTAGTAATAAAAATGTTTAATTACATAAAATTAAAATAGAATTATGAAAAAAAATAAATATAGCTATAAAAATATACGCCACCAAAATTTATTTTGACATTTTATTTAAAAAACGTTTAATATTTTTAATTGCTCGAATTATAAAAAGGCAAAAAGCTTTAATTTTGAAGGTAAGAATGAGTTTATAAAAAACAATTCAAATAAAATCGTTAAGTCCGACACTGCTCGAGGACTCCTCTTGATATCCCCACTCCCTTGGCCTTTAACCATCATCATTTAATAGCATGTTTTTTCGACCTGTCCGTAATCAATTCCGGATTCTCCAGAACGGTAAGCTCCACCTTAACTACTCGGCCATCCAGCCATCTAACTATACTTTATTTATGAGCATAATGAAAGTAGATGTATTGTATGTGACATCTGTTACAAATGTGATAATTTTGCTGTTTAAAATTTTATCCAAATTAGAGTTTCTTCTAGTTCCCAGATTAAATTAAGATATGGAAATGTGGTACGGGATACGGGAAAAAATGAGTCGCTATGCACCGTATCCATTCGGACTCTGATGGGCAGAATGCATAAAACTACTAAACACTGGTAGTTGGTTTCAGGTTCGCACCTGACCAACGGACTGGCCATAAATGGAGTTTTTCCGGATTTTATTTACGTTTCTAAAGCCTGAATAGGGACCAACTTTCATAGAAAGATCTCCAGGTAGTGCTGTGCGATGCATCGATGTTTTTGTTCGTCGATGCATCGACCTTCCGATGTTTTTGAAACATCGATCCTGAATCGATGTTAGCAATATGTGAATTTCGATTCATCGATGAATGCAGTTCATTCTTTGTTCCTAATGTTACCACCTGTTCGGTTTTCACCCGGACAGTCCGGGAATTTCGTAGATATTGTGAAATTGCGATAAAACAAAGTTCTCGCAAATATGTTTACAAATTTACACTATTTTAACAGTGAATGAACTCACACTCATTGAAACTCATCCGCAACTCTGCCATGTTAGTCTGTTTACGCCGACTTGTGGCGCGCAACCTGTCGACTTTGAGGCCGTATGGCCAACGGTCAAGGTGACAGCCTACCTGTCTGGGGGACCCGGGATCGAATCCGGACGGGTCAAGGAATCCCCAGGAATTTTTCGGGGGGTGGTCTGTTCGGATATGTCAGGCCCCGTCCCTCACCACCCGGTCGCCCCATTGTGGGCCTGGCCGAACCCATAATGGGCCTGCTATAAAAGGCCCTCTTAGTGCCCACAGGGCGGAAATAGTAAAAAAAAACCCTGTCGACTTTTTTTTGCATGTACGATCGTACACGTATCAAATAGAGCTAAGTTATCTGTACCTGTTCTTTCTTAATTTAGGTTACTTACGTTACTCCTACGCAAGTCCCTAGTCCCTAACTGTAACTGATTTAGAACCGGCATGCACGTTATTCTTCGCATTGTAAAATGACATTGCGCATGCGTCAGGAACTTCTGTTCGAACAAACCCGGTTTTGTTTTTTTTTTTTAAATTGTTTGAGTTTATCTTAATTGAACATCGATGTTCCTTCCAATGGGCATCGATCAAACATCGATGTTAAAATTATAGACATCGCACAGCACTTGTCTCCAGGAGGTACCCTTGGCAGATCGCCCAAGAGATGCATTGCATTATTCTATCAATTCAAACCAATCCTTATCATATCACTAAATCAGGGATGGCAAAGTTTTTTGACTTCGCGTGCCATAAAGTAAGTATAATTGTTTTTTAAATAGTTGCATAACGAAGTTTTAGACTTCAAGTAACAATCTTTAAATAAATATAGTGAATATGCTTTAATTATAATAAATATAAAGAATCTTATTGGGAAAAGTATGATGATATATTGATCTGAATACATAACCATAATAAACAACTGAAAATTAACAGTAAAAAGTTTATGTTACGCGCTAGAGTATTTCTCTTTGCACGCTTTCCATAGGTTTGCCATCCCTGCACTAGAATGATACACCACGGTGTTAAGAAACGAAGATACTCAACAAGTCTGGATCTGTCTTTAAGTGATATTAGATTAAAACATTTCATTTGAATGGCAAATATATTTTCAAAATAACATCACAATTTTACGTTAATTTTCAGCCATTCATTTTTACATATTGACTTACAATGTCAAATTACTTTATACCAATCATTTAATTATCCTTATTATAGCCCGATATTTAGGCGATCGTTTGGTGATTTATTGTATACTACTCGGGCTTTGAGATGTTATTATTTATACTGTTTCTATATCCTATTGACATAATTAAATCAGCATTTTTATCATTTTAAAATTTATCCAATAATAATAATTCATAAAATACTCACTGCTAACTTATTGTAAACACATATAGAATTCAGGCAAGATCCTTCTAAACAAACACGAGTGTGATAAGCGCAACCATTCCCGTCTTCTTCATCACTAGCCTCCCCACATTCGTCAGTTAGTCCGTTACAGATTAATGCTTTTCTGCAATCTTCGATTGTGTAACTGCAAAGTTTTCTTTCCGAACGTGGAACAATTTTTCCATCATCTGTGCAGCAAGGAGATGCTTGAGGACTGCATAATTTGCCTTTGCTTCTTCGAATAGTACAAGGTCTGTCGTCCGTATCTCCGGGAGGTGCACAATTAGGGTCATTTAATTCGCACTCCTCTTTTGTTCCACAATCACAGTCTTCATTCTGCTCCAAAATTCCATTTCCACACGAAGGAGAAATCGTCTTGTTTATAAAACACAATTTACCTAAATTTTAATTTTGTTTATTTACAATATGTGCCAATATACTAGATAATATCATTTTTAAATATTCTAAAGAAAATTTATTTCAGATAATAATTATAGTTTATAGTTTTTATATCGAATTAGATTAAATATTAAATTATATATAATATTAAATATCGAATTATAACTGTGGTTTTACAAAATACATGCATAATTTTTCATACCTTTTCGATGCAAGCCTCCAGAAATAGAGTCCCAAAAGCAATCCAGTTTGTATTCTAGTACTTGCTTCCGAATATACTTAAATTCCCGTAATCGCATTAGAACTGGAGATTGAAAACGAACAGAAGTTTTGCAATCTTCTATGAAATCAAAATGATATGGCACACCAAAACCTCTGTAGAGTTCTCTTGAAAAATAAAACATAAAATGAGCAGTAGACAGACGATAAGGACCAATCCACGTGGATGTAATTCCAATGTTTTTGGGTACATCTTGCCTTTCAGAATTCATACATATACCTTCATCTGAGTGAACACCAAAATATGATATTCCTTGATGTGTTCCTTGTAAAGCTACTCCGCTTATAAAATGCACCCAACAAACATTATTTTTGTAATTTGAAGCATCCTTCAAAAATGCTTTTGCATTCGATTCATTTTGAATAGAATAACCCACCGAATTTTCATTTTTAAATATTTTTATTTCTTTAAGTTGAAACCTAAAATCTAGCATAATTTGTCTATGATTTCTAGTAATAGGAAAAAATCCTTTTATAAAATCTACTCCATAATTCAACATCTCAATTATAAAAACCAACCAGTTAATTAAATCAGCTTCATTACCGTTATATTCTCTGAACAATGAAGGTGTAGCTATCAATGTCATTGTACAAATTTTGCTGTTTTCCATTATTGCTTGTTGTGCCAGTTTATTGTGATTTAATACATTGTATTCATCTTGAATACTTATTCTAGATACGATCGTATGAAGACCATCGTAATCTGGACTCAAACCGTAATACGCATTAGTAGCGAATATCATTCCTTTAAAATTATAATTGTTTAAAACACCAAACACTTTTGAGTTTTTAACTCCAACAAGAAATCCACTGAAAAGATTCGCTTCGAACTCTGATAATTTCGTGATGTTGATTGTTTTATAGTCATAAATTTCAATTGTAGCATCATCATGAATCGTTCTCATTCTTTCTGCTTTAATGTGGAAATTAATATTAAACGCTTGAAAATTCATCATTAATTTTTCTGGTTTTTCTTTTAACTTTTCATATCCTTGGTAAATCGAATCATTATTTGAAAAAGCAAACTGAATTTTGATTCGTTGTTTATCAAACGACGGTTCTGATCTTTTCATATTCATAAAAGAAAAGATGATACATAACATAAAACAATTCCTAAGATTCCACATTTCCATATTTATTTCGACACAGTTTCTAATAATTAATTTAAATATATATTGATTTTTCCTAGGCTATTATGTCAAATCTTTCATTATTTTAACATTATAAAAATTCTATCTTTTTTACAATTACTTACCTAGCGTATTATATTAATAAATGTTCATTGTTGTAATTATTAATCAAGATATTATTACCGATATGAATTTTTATGGTTAATATTTTTCATTATCTTGATTAGTTTTACAAACTTATTTATTATTACGATTATTCATTTCTGATACAAATCGATAATATTTACATATATGTAAATTTTCTTGCATGCCATATTATATGTAATCTCTGTTTACATTTTACTTGTTCATTGAAATTCGAAATTTTCACAAATTCGTTATATGTAAGTCAGTATATAGTTGATTCTCGATAAGTGGAGATGAAAATTTTTCAGTTACGGAAATTACTATCATGATTAAGGGCTAGTACACATTAGGCGTTGGGCGTTGCGTTAAACGCGCGTAAGCAGAGTACACACCGCGCGTTTAGCTCGGCGTTCGACGACCGTTAGTAGGGCGTGCGCACTGGCTCAGTTTGGCAATGGACGTGAAAGTAATTGCTTATGTGTGGTTCCTCTATCGTCGCTATAGAAGACGATGGCAGAGGCAAAGAGAATTTTTGGTGCACCCAATATTACGAGATAGACTGACGCATGGAATGTTTCTGACGTTGTATCCAAAACTAAGACAACACGAACCCAATTTTAATTATTTTAGAATGTCTATAAAATCATTTGACGATGGCTGGTCTCTTTTGGATTTCATCAATAAATAGATCAGTATCAAAATGATCTTTCTCCATTTCGGCCAACGTGCGTCCACTCTACCCGAAAGCGCGTGATCGAATGTACAACAACCATGGCAGCACATGTATCTCAAAGCGCACGGCTGACGCCCGCGAAACGCGCGTTCTAACCAAAATCTATCAATGCGCGCTTGGCCAGAAGCGCGTGTTTGAGTGTGTATATCTATGCGGAACTCTTGGTTCTTTAAAACGCGCGTTACCAAAACGCGCGCTTCAAAACGCCTAAGGCTGTAAACACATTAGGCGTTTTTAAACGCGCGTTTTAAAGAACCAAGGGCCGTATTCTGGTCGCTGTCTCTCGTCTCTCGTCTCTCACAAGCCGGTCGCTGATTGGCTAAGCCAAATGATTAGCCAATCAGTGACCGGCTTGTGAGAGACGAGAGACCAAAGACAGTGACCAGAATATGGCCCCATGTAAAAACTTTCGCATTATTTTACATTTGTTTAATATTTATACAACATACATAAATTTTTCCTACAGTTAATTTATAAACTCAATTTTTAAAATGTTCAACTACAGAACACTTACGATGATCTGAACTAATTTTTGGCCGGATGACTGAGCGGTCAAGGTGGATCCTACCTCTCTGGAGGACCCGGGATCGCATCCGGATGGGTCGAAAAATATTCAGGAATTTTTCGGGAGGTGGTCCTACAGATATGTCGGCCCCATCCCTCACTATCCGGCCTCCCATTGGGCGCTGGCCGAACCCATAATGGGCTTGCTAAAAGAGGCTCTCATAGTGCCACAGGGCGGAAAGAGTAGAAGAAAAAACAAAAAGATCTGAAGTAATTTGGGATCGAAAATTTATGTACCGTGCTAATTAACTAACAATAAAGAGCAAAATAATATAAAGTTACACAAAAAATCGTGCAATTAAATCAAATTAGGAAATATTTACCTTTTTTAATAAAACTGTCGCGTACAAATTTTGTTTCAAAACGTGAGACATTTTTTCCTTCGTCGAGAGTAGCGACAGAAGTCTGGCAACACTGATACCATGAAACTGATTATTATTTAAGATCAGAAGTATTCCGTTGTGAGTTTCATGTTTATTTTTTTGATTAATTGAATTATTTATCAGTTGCATATAAGAACTGTTTGAATCGTAAATTATTGAAAATAAGCGCTTATTTGATTGAAATATTGAAATTGAATATTTTCAAATAATAATACATCAAATGTAAAAATAAATTATATTTGATGTAGCAGATTTTAGTAGAATCACATCTACTAAAATCTGATTGAGGTATTGAAAAGTACTCGAATATATTCATTCCATAATCTGTTTCTACAAATTTCTTTCTTCATTATTAGATTCATTATTATTATTTTGTTCTGTTAAATAACATCAAACCTGTCATGTTGATTTTTGCCAAAAATACTTGCATTTTGAAGGCTATGCATGCACGAGCATTGTCGTGACGAAGGAGACGGACTCGATTGCACTATGGTTCTGGTCTTTTGATACCAGCTTCCACTGTAATTGACTCAAAATGTTGCAGGAAATGTCTGACTAGGGGGAAACAAATTCTGGTAGATATTCACCTAGGTAGCCCATGTATTGTGTTTAACAACTTAGTCCATGCGACTGTGCTGACTTTGAGTAGCCCACTTGACTGTTTGTGGAGTATTCTATGTTATATGGTTTTAAAGAGTGTGGGGCAAGCCCCCACCTGGATGTTGAGGTGCGAGTGATGGATAGGACCGAGGCACGCATCTACATACAAAGCGTGTAGAATAGTGGGTAGACTGATACATGTTAAAAACTGATCTTTGGAGAAGAATATCAAGCAAACGATCAACAACTGTGGGGGTGGTGTGATTTATGTAAAAAGTACAAAATAAAACATCAATTTTGCTAAAAAAAAAGAAGTGAAAACAAATGGCACCTCGATAATGGAGGTGACTCTGTTGGGGCTACCTAGGTGACTGTTTACCCAAATTCTTAATACACAATCCCATTATTTTTGAAAATACAATTGACATGTTCTTTTCGTGCTCCTGACTTTTCTTGCTTTATGAGTCCTGGAGATTGTGATCTTACCCGAGGCTTAGTTGTCGTAGGCCTTCCAAAGCATTTTAAGGGTGTTTGAAACTGGTAACATTATACTCTTGTGTTAATGATATCTAAAAAGTCCAAAAGTATCACCAGTATTTTTAGTAGCAATGAATGTGTTTAAAATTTACATGGCTTATATTTATATTTTCTATNAAATTGGAGTAAGGTCACCAATGACATGTCCTGGTTCAGGTAGGAATGCCAAAATTATGACCAAATGCAACATTAAGAGACTGGAACTCTTAATGTTGCATTGCTGTCAAAAACAAAACTGATATTGAAAGAAAGTTACAATTCCTACTTGTTCAGATATGCAAAAAGAGCAGATCCAAAGAAAGTGTGGATATCTGTGGAGAAAATTCAAAGATTATACATTCATCTTGGATGATGACTACTCCAAAGACATTCTGATATAAATGCTAATGCTGGATTTTAGTCAAAGAATGTTCTGGAAGTGCCCAATGAGAAATTTATAGATTTATTATTAAATATAATATTATTACTGTAATTTTATGTGGATAAACTGCAGGTTATATTTGTTAAAAGGTGTGTACAAAAAGTACATCATTGTATGCAATAGGGAAGGAAGGGACCAAGACATTGTTTACAGTGGTATTAGGGGCATACAGGTTTGTTTTTATAAACCTAGTCAAATGAATAAACTATCAGTTAGAAACTATTAGCATCATTTCTTCAATGTTGGGAGTCCATAAACTATTGTACATGTAATTAAAGGAAATGAAGTTTCTCAAAGTACACCATTGTATGCAACAGGGAGGAAGTGAGTTGTCAAAAGTGGCTCAAAAGCAAGTTATAAGCTCACTGCTATAAAGTGAATTTTGACCACTAAAACTAATTATATCTTTAAAATGATAGCCCTTGCTTGACTGTGTTTTCTTTTATTTACACGCAACAGTATTATTTTCTTTCATTTTTCTAATGAAATCAAAACTAACAATGATATCATTGCAATTTTGGTTTACTTACTTCATTTTTTAAACTCTACAGTGTAGAAATTCATTTTACATTAATTAAAATGACATTTATATAAAATTGAAATTATTATTAAATAACTTTTGCTTTAGAAGACAGAGTAAAATAAATTTTTATGTAACATTTTCTAAACAGTAATTGGATAAATAAAACAAAATTTCAGCATTCTATCAGATGACCTAACAATTACAGTTTGTCAAGTCTTTATCACTTATGGAAATACAGTGGTGCTTTGTGCTTCATATTTAATTGCAGGAGATCATTCGAAGTTCAAATCAATTTTTCTCATTATAAATAATGGAAAGTGAATTAATCCATTCCCAGACCCTGAACAATTCCCATTTTGAAAAATTTAAAACATCAAATACACATAATTTAAAGTAAAATAACACAGTTAAATGTCCTGATAATAAATTAAAACATGAAAACTGTAAATAAAATACATAAATACTGTATAATAAAATTAAAATTTCATTTACTGGTTGCACACAGTTGGCTTTGGCATTTTAATACAGATGTGTGATTTCATGTAAAATTTAACATATTATAGATAATTTGAGATTGTATTATTTGTTTAGAAGCTTACTTTAAACTGTACTTTACTTGATTTTATTCAAACAAAATGTGATGTTTTCAGATAAAAAGCATATTGGGCATATTATACTTTAAGTTTCAGAAAGAATGTAATGCCATATAAATGGTAAAAAAAATTATAATGTGTATGGCAAAGATGCTTCTAAACTTCAAACATGTCAAACATAATTTAAAAAGTTCTGTTTAGGAGATTTTGAACTAAAGGATACAAAACATACAGAGTGCCCAAAAGCTATTGGCAAAGAAAACTTGCAGGAAGAAATTGTTAAAATCAACCAATAACACACATTACAGTATATATAACCAAACACACCAAAAATAAAGTAAAAAAAGCACTGAAAACCAATAAGTATAATGCAGGAGCAAAAGTGAGAGACAACTTGGACATGCAACAGATTGCATTTACATTTCAAGTGCAATTTTTTAGTAAGCATGCTATTAGAACTCCAAGGTGAATTTTTGTGGAATTTTGCATTCAAACTCTGGAGTGCTTAAAGTAAGAGTTGTTTGAAGTACAATTGTTTGAACAAACTTTTTTACCATATAGCTTCATTTCTTTTCATTTATCAAATAATACTAATAAAATATATAATAATAAATGTTAAGAGATAGATTAATTGAATTATTTATCAGTTGCATATAAGAACTGTTTGAATCGTAAATTATTGAAAATAAGCGCTTATTTGATTGAAATATTGAAATTGAANATATCTTGTCTAGTTAATTTTTTTGTTTTTGTGAATTTCAATTGCATTTTAACATGAAATTTGCTACTAGAGAATAATATTAGCACTAAGAACAGATTTCTGGAGTTAAGAAAGAAAGAAAGATTTAATTATGGCAGCTAGAAGGAATGGACTTTCTAATTATAATCTTACAATTATTATAATTAATTAAAAACATTTTTTGTTAATCAAACAAGGGGTGGTAACTAAGAGATGTCACAACAGTAAAGTAATAGCACATGAGGGGGCTCACTTGTAGTGGCAGAACACATGGTAGTGAAAGAACAATTGCATGTTCTATCTTGCTAAAGCTTGCCATGACCCCCAACTGGATTTGTCAGGACAGTTGCAATAAAATGAAGCCAGAGACTCTAATCCAGTGTGTGTATAACTATTGTGAAAAACACAAAGAGTAGTCCAAGAAATCAATTGTGCAGCATTTTTGTGATGAAAATATCAGTCACAGGCAGATATACAGGATCATCAAGAAATTGGAGTAAGGTCACCAATGACATGTCCTGGTTCAGGTAGGAATGCCAAAATTATGACCAAATGCAACATTAAGAGACTGGAACTCTTAATGTTGCATTGCTGTCAAAAACAAAACTGATATTGAAAGAAAGTTACAATTCCTACTTGTTCAGATATGCAAAAAGAGCAGATCCAAAGAAAGTGTGGATATCTGTGGAGAAAATTCAAAGATTATACATTCATCTTGGATGATGACTACTCCAAAGACATTCTGATATAAGTGCTAATGCTGGATTTTAGTCAAAGAATGTTCTGGAAGTGCCCAATGATGATAAATTCAAACAGAAGCTTCCTCTTTGATTGGCAGTTTTTCCTGAGGGAATCTCAGACCCATTCATTACTCCTTAAGGGCTTGTTGTTAACCAAGATGTGTACCTGAATCAATGCATTGTTAAAAGGCTCTTTCATCAAGAAGAATCATTCTGACTACAATTATGTGTTTTGGTCAGACCTGGCATCATCACATTATAATAAAAAAGTCATTGATTATCTAAAGGAGAAGAAAGTGAATTTTGTTGAAAAGTCAGATAATTCAGCTGCCATTCCAGAACTTTGACCAATTGAACAATTTGGTCAATTCTGAAGGGCTTAGTGTATCCCAAAACTTGGACTGCCAAAAATGTTCAGCAACTATTATACAAAACAGAATAAAGTATTGCTTGAAGAAAGTTGATATGAATGTTGTATGATACATGGTTATTAAGGTACCCAAAAAACTAGCGGTGCTTTCTGCTCAGTTATAAAAGCATTATTACTTGTTAATTAATTAATGTTCAAAAAGCTGTTTTGTTAACATGTATTGTTAAAATATTAAATTATTGATTTTTTTCATAAATATCACTGGCCAAAATTTGTGACATTTTTCAGTTACCACCCCTTAAATGGATGAAGTAAACATTTAAAAGTTTGCTATTATGAGCCACTATCTTGTTTTAACAATGATTGTTGTGCTAAAATATAAATTTTTGTCTATAATTTCATATCTTTTATTATCAAGACTTATTATACTGGCTTTACAGATAATGTTACAAAGTTTTACAGAAAAACATTTCTTTATTTTACTTAATATACCTGCTACTTAATATTTTTGTAAAATTTTGTAACATTATCTGTAAAGCCAGTATAATAAGTCCTGATAATAGAAGATACAAAATTATAGACGAAAATTTATATTTTAGTAAGAAAAAGGACATTGAGGCATTTTAATTAAATGATTGTTGTGGTTTGCATAATTGCTTGTTTCTCTGTTCTTATTTTGTGAAATGGAAGTGAGAATCAAATTTTTTTACAAAAAGAAATCTTTCTTGCATTCTGCATTCACTTTCACTGGTAAATATCTTTCTGAATTAAGTTTAGAGTTTTGTATAGTGAATGAGAGACAAGCAGTCAACTCTGGAATTCATATCAGTGGCTACTATCAACATTAAAATTATTTTGTATTGAATTTTATTATTATTTGATAATAAAATTAAAATAAATGAAGCAATATGATGATAAAATATTTTGATAGGTCTATGTATTTTGCAGACATGAAGTGTAGAGGGTTCCCTCCCAGTATTTTTTTTTCATTTCACTTTTTTATAATTACATCTACAATGAAGTGAAATAGAAAAAACAATGCTTTAATGTTTGAGATGGTGCTTTCTAAACTGCAAACCATTAACCAATAAGTATCATGCTTTCAGTAGTTGCTGCAGAGACACAAGGTATATACAGTGGGAGAGTTAAGTAAAGGTTTATCTCTGTTTTTTGTAATATTCTGTAAGATATATGCTGTCACAGGTTATCCACACAAAATTACAGTACTTACTTACTTATCTTACTTTTCATTATTTTTATTTTTTACCAGAATATATAGATTATATTTATTATAAAAATGAGTGAAGCTGTTAAGGATGGTGAAACTGAAAAGACCAGTAATGTTACAACAGATCAAGTGCCTCTGATTCCAACAATTTCTGATCAAGAAAAAGAATTAGCCAGTTTATCTTACCAAGCCTTTGAAAAAGGAAAATATGAAGATTGTCTTTTATCTCTCAGTCAGTTAATTGCTACTAGATCAAATGACCTTAAAGTTTATCATAACAAAGCAGTAGCTGAGTATTATTCTTCTGATTTTATAAACACAAATGACTTCCAAAAAATACTTGTTGATATTTGTAACCAGGTATGAAAAAATTTTCTGTGATTAAATGTTGCTTAATGCTTAATATTATATTTCAACTTTAATAATGTTACTACATGTATGTATGTGTGTATATATATATATATTTTTTTTAAACTGATGATTACACTATTTCATATTCAATAGCTTTATAATCTTAAATAACTTATATTGTAACATTGCATATTCATTTATTTACTAATATAAGTAGTACAGTATGATCTTATTTTACATAATAGTTTGCATATCAGTAAATGCAAGTAAAACAAAATTCTGCATAAATTTAAGCTTTACCCCTTAAGATTATCTAGATATTTATGCAACCATTTAAAATTAATAGAAAAATGTTAAAATGTGTTTAATGCCACTTTTTCTTTGTGATTTGGGTTTTGTTGCATAGTGCTAAAAATTTTAGTTTCAGTTTTATTTTCACACAACTTACTGTAAATACTGTACAGTATGAAACCAGATATGAAAAAGTTTTCATTATTGTACACAAAAAAAATTTCTGCTTTCTTCATGTCCACATTAGAACCTTCTATTTTTTATTTGTTTTGATAACTTTTTCTCATATGTAGGCTATAGAAAACTGTTTCTAATTTTTATACTATTACTTTTGCTCCACAATGAATTTTATAATAATTAATTGTGGAATTCATTGTGCACTAGAGTAATCAGAATTATTCTTGTGCATTCGCTATCTGTGAAATTACAAATCCACTTAAAATAAGATTCTACTATATAGTCGTTTAGGTATAGATGAAATATTAAAAACTTACCAATTAATAAATATTATAACTATCTTAACTGTGTATTCATAACTCATAGGGCTACAAATGGGTTACTTTTTCAATTATTTGTTACTTTTCTATTTTATTATTCTCAGTATTAGGTTGCATTTTGTTACTATTTCTCTCTCAACAATCAATTCTAACACATTCAGTATGATAATGTAGATTAAAAAAGGCAATGTTGTTGAAAAATCTAGAAGAAAACACAAAGACATTCAGAAAAAACATCATTTATAGTGGTGTTACGCTTGAAAGCAATTGCATTTTTCAGGTGTCATTTGTGCTGTGGAGTCTAGAGAATCTACAGCACAGTCTTGTATGAGTAACTCATACTTGAACTTTCTAATTACTGATTGCTATGAATATATATAAATTACTCTTAGTTCTAAACCGAGATACCATAGGAATGGGCATCTTATCTAAGTTGCAGACTACATAAGTGTATGTCTTCTGATCCTGTAATACTAAAGGAAATACATTGAGGTTTGTTTTGGATTATGGTCTGAATGAATTGGGCAAAATTATCTGTGTGTCATTCATTCAGAAAATTATGTTGTATTTTCATTGTCTTGTCTTTTTAGAGATGAGTATTATGTACACTATATAATTTTTGCAATGAGTTATCAACTTCATGATCTCAATATAACAGTTATCAAAATTTCAGTTATAATTTCTAAATGACAAATTCAGATATATTAAAGAAAGATTTTAATGTAGAGTAGTTTCCTACTGACATTCTCTATTTTTACTTGTCTAAAATCCTGCAAACTTTGTTCAAAGACATTACCAAATCTAACAATAAACATCCAGACCTTCAGATGTAACTTAATTTTATACTCTTGTGCTACATAGTATCTATTCATAAATACAAAATAAAGACAAGAAGTATACATCAACCTATGAAGAGTGAAACATTGACACAGCATATATACATTTTACTTCCAGATCTTTCAGATATAGTTATTCATATATTTTAAGGATGATGTTGCTAACAGAAGTGACAGCAACTTTTGCAAGCTTTCATGATCCATAGTAAATTGGCACTCAGTCAGAATAATCATAGATTTTATCTATCTCATGCCAGTATTCTAGAAAAAAAGCAAATTCTTTAAACATTTTACCTTGAATTCATGCCTTAGCAGTAAAGACAAGACTTTCTTTCTCTTGCTTATTTTATTTTTAATTTTTGGTCATCTTTAATATTTAATAAAACATTGCTTTTAATTAGTTAATTTTATTATCAATTATAATCATTTTTTTTTTTTTTAAATCTGTATTTTTGAATTTTGTTCTTCAAATTTTAACTTCATTCCATCCAAACTTTTACATAACATTATTTCTTGATTTATAAGTCTGAACATAGTACAGTCGACCCCCCTATAAGATCATAGATACGTTCCATTCTTTAGGAATTCATTCTTACGAGTCCTTCCAATCACAGCCCGATACGTGTCAAGTTTACGGACTACGGCTGATTGAAAGGTTTTCTTCCATAAAATTAATCAATTCTAGACTAATCCGACTCAACATTTCCAAAATACGTATATATTTTTTGGGAATAATCCGTATAAACTACGCTATAAACAAAAAATTGTAGGATTACTTACCGAGTGTCACCATTCGACATTGCCATTGCTCAACATTGTTTTCGTCGCGGAACAGCTCAGCAAAGAGCGGCCGATTTCTAACAACTTATTTTTCTGTGAAAACTTCGTAGAACTTCGGAGACATCATTAATATAAATAATTTTAATCGCCGTTGAATAAGAAATGTTTCTTTCACAAGAAATGTATAAAATTACAGTACTGTATTAGACTTACGGTACCTAATTTACATACTGACAGACGATAGTTAGCGTAAAAATCTCCGTAGCGTGGCGCCACGCTAGACGGCGGAAATTATATATTTAATTATAACAAAGTTACAATAAGTTAATATATAATTATATATACAGTACCTAATTTATATATAATTAATATATAATTATATGTACAGTACCTAATTTATATATAATTTATATAATACTGTCCAGACGATAGAAATCTCTCTGTAGAGTGGCACTATGGACGGCGGGAAAGTAGTTTGGCTGCCCGATGACGTTTTACGTAATTATAGGAGTTTTTTTTACCTTTTTTTACAGATACCATCACAATTTTTTCGCAGTTTTATAGGAATCGTAATTATATGGGGTCGACTGTACATTAAATAGATTGAAAATGTTTACAATATTTAATTCACTATGAATGAATGAATGATATGTTTTTTCCTTGTAACTAAAAATATATTTCTTTGGAATCTAAATGGGGATATATATATATATATATATATCCCCATTTAGATTATATCCCCATTAGATATATATATATATATAATTTCAAATAAATAATACATTATGCATTGTTTAATTAATCTAAGAAATAGAATATAAAAAAATAAAAAGAAATTGGTTTTTTCCTCCTCTCTTCACAGTATAGGAACAATCATACTGTATTATACAACACAAGATACCATATTTTTTGAACCATGTATTAATTTCAGAGTTATTCACAAACTCATTGAAAAAAGGCTTTTACAGTAAGACCCCACTTAATGCAGAGGATGCATTCCTAGATGACAAAGTGCTAAACGAAACAGCGTTAAACAAGGTCATTTTAACATAGAGTAAATAGGGAAAGGGAAACACACAACCAAAAATAAACAGATTTTACTTTAATTTTAAGTTATTTTTATATTAATTTGCATAATAATATATGTTAAATAACACAAACATATGCACACAGAAATGTAAAGTTTATTTTTTATGACAGAGGTTCTGGCTCTTCTGAAATTCTTCTTTTTTGCAATAGTTATATAGTTGCTGTAGACTTGCAGTTGTATAGTTTCATTTGTCGCTTTTTTTTTTTTTTTTTTTCCTTTTCTTAAGCAAATGTCAGTAGCAGAAGATCACATCCAAAATGCTTCGTTCTGCTTTTCCATTCCTTTCAAAATCTGGATCATTTGCTACAATTTGATCAATGATTTTGTTTATTATTACCAAACTTTTACTAAGGAAATCTATAGAGAAATTCTTTGGGTTCTTCGTTTTCAGAGCCATTATTTTCCAGTTCTACATGAATTCCTTGTTCTACCAGTTCTTGAAGTCATATGTTGGTAAGGTTCTCACCAGAAACCTTCAGTAATTCCTCAATATCCTACTACATATAGTCCTGCTGTATCAATTAGGTTGACAATTTGGTCAACCTAACAATACAGCAATAGACTCTTCTTGTTGACAATTCTTGTGTACTTTTAGCCATAACATCTTCCACACTCCATAAATGCATTTATTAGTTAATTCTTGCCAAGCGAAGACAATATTGCCTATTGCATCCATGATGTTATATTTTTTCCAAAATTGCACAAAACAAACATAGATTTAAAGAAAGTATAGTGCTATGACGAATTGCCACTTTTTACTGATTGGTTCGTGTTCATAAATAATTGTATTAGATACAAATCATTGAAATGCTGTGTTGATTTGAATCAGCGTAAATTTTGAGTTTTTTTAGGCTTCGAGCAGACTGTGTTATATTGAGGCAGTGTTAAATGGGGTCTTACTGTATTTTTTTTTCAAATTTATTAAATTTAGCTGTTATTATATATTTAAAGAATACATATCATAAAGCAATATAATAAAATTTTCTATGATTTTTTATAAGAAATGTTAGAGAGGGAAAAACATACAGTTTAAAGAAAATAATAATTCTTTTATATTAAATTAAATGTATTCTTAATATCTTTTAAATTTATTGTTAATGAAAAAAATTGTTTTTTTCTTAGTTATTTACTTAAAAATTAATTTTTCTTAAATTTCTTACAGGCTCGAATTAACATTGATAATGTTGAAACTTTGGAGGATGTAGATCATTGTATATTATTTTTCAATCAAGCCATTATTTTATTTCATCTTCATCAATATCATGCAACTATTACAATTTTAGATAAATTGTTTCAGTTTATTGAACCTTTAGGTAAGTAATACAGAAGTTTTCAAATAAGAAATTAATACTTAAATATTAATGATGCTCTTAAGGAGTGCTAAATTTTACATTGGAAAATCTTGAAGTTCCACTGAACACAGTTCAGTAAACTAAATTATTATATTAGGATTAATGTAATAGATTATTAATTCTAATAAAATAGCATTAATATCCTATATAAAATTTATATTAATTTTATAATAGGATAATGTAATACTTGCTTTCATTTGCTAAACTGCAATCAGTCTTGTTTATGTACACTGTAATGTTGCCTTGACATTTGCTGTTGATTTTATTTGAATAGAGTCGTTGATAATATGAGCAATATCAAATATATTTTACATATAGATTTTAAAAATTATAAGAATATTTGTAAAAAACAAGAATGTATAATTTTAATACATGCTTCTTGTCCTTAATTACTTATATTATGCTTGTGTCCACTTTGGAACTAGGGAAATTCTTCCAGTAAAATTTTTTGAAATCTAGTAAACTGGTAAGTAATGTTTAAATGAATAGATACATTTTCAAGGAATTTTACTGGAAGAATTTAATAAATTGAAGTTTAAAAGTCTATTCCGAAAATGTTGAAAGAACTATATGGATATATTAAAATATAAACTTGTAAATATAAAGAAAATGGTAACGTCTGATGAGCAGATAGTCGTTCAAAATGCTCGATTATAGTGGCATACAATATTATGTTACAATAAATATATTTTAATTGGAAATGGTGTGTTTCTCTTCCCTCAGTATAACAAGTCCTAGTTCACAAGAACATCCAAAGACACAAGCATAATATAATGTATAATTTCATATAATGTAAGACTTTTCATTAATATCTTTTTTAGGTTTTTTATTATGTGCAATTTACATTTTAAATTATATTTAAAAACCATATATTTTTAGATTATTGTTTATTTCTATATATAGTATTCTTGTAAATGTACTTTGTATTTTATTTTGTCCTTTGTGTATTCATTGTGTTGTAGTAAGACCTGTTTTTTTATATGTTCTAACATAATATTTTTATTATTTGTGTTTTTATGTAATTTAAACAGATGTTATATTGTTAATTGAAGGAGATATTTCTTGCCATAAGCAAGAAGTATTTTCTCCAATTAATCTATCTATATCCACTGATTAACAATGTAACATCCTTTAAAATCAGTAATCAATTAATCTTCTTTATAATTAATAAAGAAAAAAAATATATTGCTTGCATTTTTCCCCATCACATTACAGTAAAGATTATAAAACATAAGAATTTTGTTTTTAAGAAATTCTACATTTTCAGTATTGTTTAACATTGAAATTAATATAATAAATTAATAAAATTTTCAGGGCAATAAATATATACTTAAAAATTCATAAAAAATTCTTTAAAAAGACAATACAGGCATATTTTAGGTTTCAACCATCTCACAATAAAACAACCCACAGATATGATTGTCATATATTTATACCATATCATGATCTAACTTGGCTATCTCCACCAGTACAATGCTTCATTTGTTCCAATTGTTGCCACCTGTCCAATTTTTGAGTTGTGTGTCTAGTGAATACCAAAAATATCTGGGTTTTAAGAAAATTTGGCAAATCATCAGTAATTAATTATTTTTTAATGATATAACTGATTTTATAACTGATGAACAGAAAATCTGATAATTTAATTAGCAAGTCATATGTAATAACATTTCAGAGAGTCCAGATACAGAGTCTTGAGGATAGCCTTTATTTAGGGAGCAGGTTTTTTTAACAAAGCCTTCTGTCTTTTAAGAAATCATTGAGCAAGTAGAAAATATTTTGTGGTTCTTTGATATCTCTGATAAGTTTTAAAATTAAAGACCACCTTGCATTGTCAAATGAGCCTTTGATACCTAGAATTATTAACAGAGACATCAATTTCTTCTTTTTTCCTTGCTGTAGAGTACAATACAATTCAACAAGGTCATCCTCTGAAGAATGCTGAGGTGTGAAAACATATTGGTCATTGCTCAAAATCTTTCCTGAGGTGAAACTTTCTTTAAATAAAAAAAATATATACGGGAAATGACAATCCATGATACAACCATTCACAGTGCAAATACTATTTGATGGAATGCATTATATATGTAACCTGGGCTACACTTTTATATTATCCTCACGTTCCATCTCTTTTTTTTACACCTCAGGAACATAACAGTCTTATAATGAAGGCTCTCATCTACTTCAATGTGCAAAAAATTAAAATTTTCTCTGACAATGGCATAATTAGAAAACATATTAATAAAATTGTCAGGATAATAAGTATATATTTAAAAATTCAGAAAAATCTTTTAAAAAAAAGTCATCCTTCAAGTAAAGGTCTCTGTATTAACTCTACTGTAAGACTGTTATGTTCCTAAAGTGTGAAAAAGGATGAAATATACACGCATTTTTAATATGTCTTTTTTAAAAAACTTTTTTGTGAATTTTNTTCTGTAAAACTTTGTAACATTATCTGTAAAGCCAGTATAATAAGTCCTGATAATAGAAGATACAAAATTATAGACGAAAATTTATATTTTAGTAAGAAAAAGGACATTGAGGCATTTTAATTAAATGATTGTTGTGGTTTGCATAATTGCTTGTTTCTCTGTTCTTATTTTGTGAAATGGAAGTGAGAATCAAATTTTTTTACAAAAAGAAATCTTTCTTGCATTCTGCATTCACTTTCACTGGTAAATATCTTTCTGAATTAAGTTTAGAGTTTTGTATAGTGAATGAGAGACAAGCAGTCAACTCTGGAATTCATATCAGTGGCTACTATCAACATTAAAATTATTTTGTATTGAATTTTATTATTATTTGATAATAAAATTAAAATAAATGAAGCAATATGATGATAAAATATTTTGATAGGTCTATGTATTTTGCAGACATGAAGTGTAGAGGGTTCCCTCCCAGTATTTTTTTTTCATTTCACTTTTTTATAATTACATCTACAATGAAGTGAAATAGAAAAACAATGCTTTAATGTTTGAGATGGTGCTTTCTAAACTGCAAACCATTAACCAATAAGTATCATGCTTTCAGTAGTTGCTGCAGAGACACAAGGTATATACAGTGGGAGAGTTAAGTAAAGGTTTATCTCTGTTTTTTGTAATATTCTGTAAGATATATGCTGTCACAGGTTATCCACACAAAATTACAGTACTTACTTACTTATCTTACTTTTCATTATTTTTATTTTTTACCAGAATATATAGATTATATTTATTATAAAAATGAGTGAAGCTGTTAAGGATGGTGAAACTGAAAAGACCAGTAATGTTACAACAGATCAAGTGCCTCTGATTCCAACAATTTCTGATCAAGAAAAAGAATTAGCCAGTTTATCTTACCAAGCCTTTGAAAAAGGAAAATATGAAGATTGTCTTTTATCTCTCAGTCAGTTAATTGCTACTAGATCAAATGACCTTAAAGTTTATCATAACAAAGCAGTAGCTGAGTATTATTCTTCTGATTTTATAAACACAAATGACTTCCAAAAAATACTTGTTGATATTTGTAACCAGGTATGAAAAAATTTTCTGTGATTAAATGTTGCTTAATGCTTAATATTATATTTCAACTTTAATAATGTTACTACATGTATGTATGTGTGTATATATATATATATATATATAATTGATTAATGATTTTATTGAGACATTTTTATTAAAGAAAACAGATTGTTATTATTTAAATGAAGTTCAAACTTATATCTGTGATAAAATGTTAAATGTAAATACTTTTTACATTAACTAACCAGAAAATATTTTTAAAATGCAAAATACTATAGAAATTCTTTAATCTAGCATCCAGTAATTCAGTATTGTCTGATGATTATCCAGTATGCTAGTATTCTGTGAATTTAAATGTATTTGAACACATGGTATGTTAAAGTCCTTAGGCTGAAATTAAGGTGGAAATGATGGTACAAATCATGTATATTTCTTCATTTCAAGAGGTTGAGCCATGAGATCAAAAACAATGTGATTGAGAAGAATAACTCATTTTGTTTGTGTCAGTTGAAATTATTTCACTGGTGCCTTTTTGTGCCTAATACATGCATGACTGATGTATTTTCTTTCTCATAGGCCAATGTCATAATTGTGACTCTAAAAATAGGTTTCTCATACTTGGAACACATGTAGTTTTTGTGAATTGTATTGAATATGTATATGGTACATATTGAACAGAAATAGTACCACCTAAAGGTTCTATCTTCATAAAAATTGAAAATGAAGTTGTGAACTTATCATCATGTCTGATTAGTATCTTTTATCCTTACTGTCCAATATCTAGTGTGAAAAACATTTTGTGATTATTTCAGAACATTTTTTGTGCAAAATAATTTAATTGCTCCAATAATCTTTGTTGTGTTTGCAAAGATGAATGAGGTCTGACATTGTTATGATGGAAAATGATGCCCTTCCAGTTTACCAATTTCAGACACTTCTCATGGATCACTGCATTTAATTTGTCCAGTTTGTCATACACATCTGAATTCATTGTTCTGCTGCTCTGAAACAACTCACAGATTACAACACCCTTCCAGTCCAAAATTGAGAGTACAATCTTGTTTGAGTGAAGCCTCATCTATGAAGTGGTTTGTGATGGTTTGCCTTGCAGCCCCTGCAATTGTTTGCACTCAACAGTGTTGTATGTGATCCATTTTTTATTGCTTGTTATTATCTGTTTCAGAAATGGGTCTCTTTCCTCGTTTTCTTAGTGGATGGAAAATGCATTCTAGATTTGTTTTAGTCAATTTATGCAGAATCCAAGCTTGGCTATGGTAACAAGCATCAAGCTTGCTACCATAGCCAAGTTGATACAGAATTGATTTCAATATTTGGAGAATGCTCTAATCTCCTGTGGTTATGTAGTATGAACTGTTGTTGATTAGCTCTTTCTATTGTCTATCTCTTATGGCTGACTTAAGTGTGGTATGTCTTGGACAGAAAAATTTCTAGTATGAACTATCTAGTACAAACTACTACTGGAACATGTTTTCTTTCAAGGCATTCTTACCATACACCATACATATTTTATAGGTTTACACTATATTTTGCCTTTTTTAAAACAAAAAGCATAATATGCTGAAAATGCTTATTTTGCTTATCCATCTTTCAACTGACATTTAAGACACAAAATACAGCCAATCTTAATGCTATTTTCTAAAAAAAATGAATATTAATTAAAATGTCAATTTCAAATGGTTACAAATTTTCAAAATTTAAACTGAAGTTTGTTGCTTTTTGTAATGTTTACTGTTACCTATCAAAAAAAACCACATACACTTATTGGTCAATTCTATATATAATAACATTAAAAATAGTCCATAAAATCCAGTAAACTATTGAATTTTACTTTTTTAGTAAAAATCTAATAAAGCTACACATAGTTTCATTGTACAGTATTTTCTTCTTACTTTATCATACACTGATCAGTTTGTTAATAATCATTACATTATAAAGTTATATGTTCATTAAAATTTATAAATTAAATTTTTATAAATTTTAGCCTGAAAAAGCTTTAAGCTTGATAAGTTACATTGAAACAATGTTGTTTGGAAACAACAAGATTAATGAGAGCAAAACACAGGCATCAGAGAAAGATAAAGAACAAGAAAAAGACAAAGAAAAGGAAAATAATAAAGAATCAGAAACAAAAGAAAAGGATACTGTTGAGATAAATCAAAATGAAATATACAGGCCAAAACTACAACATGTAAGTTGTTAAATCTATTATATTGTTATTATTTTTCATTTTTAAAATAATTAACAGAAAAAATTCATTTAGTTCTATGTGTTGTAATATTTCTGTATTGATTTTTATTTTTTATTCTGTTTTGAACTAAAATTACAACTTAAGCCTTGGCCACACAGACTGATACATAATGCTATGAATACAGGTATACCTCGCCTTACGTCGGTAATTGGTTCCAGGAAAACAACGTAAGTCGAAAAACGACGTAAGTCGAATTTACCTGTCTCCGAATCTACTTATCACTAGGAAAGCATTTTAAATAATATATGGTTAATAAAAATCTATTTTAAGCTTACAAACAAATAAATTTTAGTTTTTAATATAGTACAAAAAAAATAATCTAAATTTACGAATGCGTGTACTGTAAATACAGTACATACTTGTATATATTTTAATATGATTTTATGTGCTTTAAACGTTTATCTAGTGATATTACGACTTCAATATTTGTGGCGGACAGACGTAAAGTCGAATAAAATGACTTAAACTTGATTTGATTTTTATTTTTCCATATACTTTTTTAACAAGCGACGTATAATCGGGAACGACGTAACTCGAAACGACGTAAGTCGAGGTATGCCTGTATTATGCTCACTATGAGTCAAAAACATTGTCACTATATTAGACAGTGAGAATGGCCACATAACACCATAGACAATACCTATGCTATGCTTGCTATGTTAAATGCATAGTTGATGATTTATGGGTACAGATTTTTGATGGATGTTTGCAGACTATGCACATGTGCAAAACAAGTAATTCTCATATGTTTTGTATACCAGTTTTATTGCCATGCAAGTATTCTTCTTTCAGAATATGTTGAAAACTTTAATAGAAGAAATTCAGATATATTTACATCTATGGAACATGTTTACTGGGAAGTACTATCAAACCGTGACACATTCAAACAGCAGCAGCTTATGATAAACACTTATGTGGAGCTGCAATAACTTCAAATAAAAATAAAATCACAAAATGTCTCATTTTTATTATTTATAAATTATGTAAATTATTATATTTGGTTAAAATTAATGTTTTTATTAAAACTAGTATTGGTCAAAACATTATATGAAATCAAAAGTTCTATCATGGTTGCGTGCTGTGTGTCCTGTTGAGATAGCACTCCCATATTAGACGGCAAGAGCTATTACTGCATTCAAGTAATGATATTTTTTAAATTTAGCATCATGTTTGCAGAGATGGTGAAATTTACCAGATTTAAATCTTTTTATTCATTTTGTGAACTCTCTTTTTTTCTTTGAGTAATTGTAAAAGTGAAATATCATCAGAAAAATCAGTCCCACAAGACCTTATGAATACTTGCCTTCTTGAAGACTGATGAAAAAATGACTACAATGTAGCTTTCTCTATGGCCACCTAGTGTAGCATACATAGCATTCATAGTGAGCATAGCATCAGTATTGTAGCAGTCTCTGTGGCCATGAATTTAGTCAATCAGTGATTTATTTATGATATAATCTGTCTTTTATACAAATTACAGATTGTTTTTTTAATATTTTATTTAAAATTTAAAATTCTTGTGAAAAGCATTCAAAAATATTTGATGCTCAAACTATCTCAAATATTGAACAAGAGACATTGTTGAATGAGATCAAAATACATTGTTGTTCTTCCAATACAAATATTGGAACTGAAAAATGAATTTGATTAGACTTAAAAGCATTGGGTACTTAATGAAAAAATAAGATTTAAATGTAAAATTTTTTAATGGGTTGTATATTAACAATTTGTGTAAGGTTTATGTAAAACATTATTTAAATTTACATTATTAATGTTTTAATTAAATTTCTTATGACTGCTGTTTATATATAAATAGTATAAAGTCTCTGTAAATCACTGTAACACAGTGATTAAATAAAGAGAAGTAATTAGCTATCTGCTGTGTGTTGGTCTACCGCTAAACCTAAAATTTATATATTTTTCGTGCGGATTTACAGAAACTTTATACTATTTATTATTAATGTTATTTCTTTCCGTAGTATAAAGCGAGATGTTACATAATGTTGAAGTCAGCCAAATTCTGCAAACGAGAAATAAAAAGCTTAATGAATTCTGGAGTTGTAAGTAGTTTGAGATGATTTATAATTATATTTTATACAAATTATTATAATCTATATTCTTATGTTTGTATCTTGTTCTAGAATATACCTGCTATCTATCTACGTAGTCAGCTGGAATATCTGAGAGGAAGTTATCGCAAATCATTAAAGGTTCTGAATACAGCCACATCTTCTGGAACTGTTCGTCCCGTCAAAGAAACTGGAGATAATCTCACAGTCATGTATTATAATAATATAGGATGTATTCATTTTTATATGGGCAAACCTCATCTTGCATCTTTTTACTTTAATAAAGCATTGAAAGAACATGATAATGCCATAGCAGAATTAACTGAGGAAGAGGAAAGAGGTAAATGAGTAAATTGGAAATGTAGTAAAATAGTTGAAATTTGTTTCTTGTAAAAATTTAAATTAAAACCAAATACATTTAGATTTGATGTACTGTATCATTAATTTATGTTGCAGATTAAATAATAATGATAAATTGCTAAATAGAGGAATTTATTCTAATACTTCTTTATTACTTCTATTAATAGAATTTTTAGATATAAAATTTTATAATTAAATTTTAATTTTAATTAGAAGTTCCAGTGAAACATGGTACAATTCTGATAATTTAAAAGAATAAAATATGGCTAATTAAAGAAATCAAGCAATAATTAATGGAGAAACATTTTTGGATCTTTATTTGGACTAACTTGTGCTCACAGTAATGCTCAAAATGAATATGTATGGTGTTTCAAAAATTTTTTAAATATAAAACTTATGTGATAAAATCTGAAGTATTTTTACAGTATTAAATAATTAATGAGAAAATTAATTTTTATTTACTCCATTTATTTATTTTAACACAATCTCATGAATAAAAAACAAGATGGTTGGCATAACAGCTCAGCATGGAAACAAGAGTTATATTTAAGGTTTGGGGAAGACTCCAAGTATTTTGTTACAATGAATGAGGTCCCCAGAATCAATCAACAAGTCCACATGGGTGATAGAAATCGTGCATCATGCATGCTGATCATGTTGTGATGCTTGGAGAAGTAGCATATGTAGAACTGTTCGAGTATTCATTACCTCATTGGTGATTTTCTCATTTATTAGGGCATTATCTCAGAGCACTCTAATAGTACAATTTGTATGCTTCTTGTACCAGAGGTATTGTCTGAGGTGTTTTCATTATTAATTCCCATGTAATGTTTGTTTATTCTTTTGCCTAAGTTTCTAGTATTAGAGCCAATATAGTAGTAGCTGTAAGTGGCATAGTAGGTCTAAAAATATTAATTGCATATAGTAATAATACTGAAACTTCTACTATAATTTTAAGCTACTAAAAGGTCATTAACATTTTTAACATATTATCAAATGTATAAGTAGCCCACATACAATCAGGCAATCTGCCACTGCTCTGGCTTTATCTGTCATTTCAGGAATTTCTTTATCTTCTCAAAATCTGCATGACTGAAGGAAGATATTTTATCCTCCTATTCACACTCAGATTCTTTAACATTATAAAGTCAACACACCTTACTACTGAGAAAGCACATTTATTAAGCCAAACAAACGTTTTCAACCCATTTCATGGGCCATCATCAGGTTAAAGACGTTCGAATGAATGGCTTTTCGAACACGTTCAAATTTAAATTATATTAGAACATATGTTAAAATAAGATTACATAAACAAGCATAACGAAATTAATACAATAAACAAAATAAAATAAAATAAAATACAAAATACAGTAATTCTCCTTAATGCAATATGTAAACATTTTTTATAGTAACTCAGTTTTATTGAGCCTGGTGGATGTATCCTCTTACGAGTTCTTTCTGATTATATATTTCCATTCCGACGGTAAAATGGTTGCATCTTTATAGTTTAAACATTTATTCGTTAAGCTAGATCTGTAGATCTCACACTTCTCTGTTGTGGATACAAGAGTTGGCGAGTGCACATTTGCAACGATTCTGGCTTCTTCCCATTTAACTATGGATCCATCTGTCTGTGCTATTTTTATAACGCTGTTGTATATTGGCTCTTTGCTATGTCGTACTTATGCTCTTTCATCCTTACGTTAAGATTTCTATTTGTGACCCCTATATATTCTTTATCTATTCCTAATTGGTCGTTCTTGTACGGTATTGCATACACTCCTGGTTGTTCTTTTTCATTAATTTTTTCTTTGTCATTTCTTAGCAACGTATATAAGGTGGGAGCTCTTTTGTACACAATATTGGTGTTTTTGTAGTTCGCGATTTCTTTCATAATCGGAGATAGACGTTTATTATTAAAGAAGTAGTGAAAGTGTTGGGATTTGGTACAAGATCTGTAGAACACCTAATTACCACATACAACGACCCTAGAAAGGGCAATAAGAAAAAACCGGACGGAAGCAGTAACATCACAAAAATTCACGTATAATAAACGTCTATCTCCGATTATGAAAGAAATCGCGAACTACAAAAACACCAATATTGTGTACAAAAGAGCTCCCACCTTATATACGTTGCTAAGAAATGACAAAGAAAAAATTAATGAAAAAGAACAACCAGGAGTGTATGCAATACCGTACAAGAACGACCAATTAGGAATAGATAAAGAATATATAGGGGTCACAAATAGAAATCTTAACGTAAGGATGAAAGAGCATAAGTACGACATAGCAAAGAGCCAATATACAACAGCGTTATAAAAATAGCACAGACAGATGGATCCATAGTTAAATGGGAAGAAGCCAGAATCGTTGCAAATGTGCACTCGCCAACTCTTGTATCCACAACAGAGAAGTGTGAGATCTACAGATCTAGCTTAACGAATAAATGTTTAAACTATAAAGATGCAACCATTTTACCGTCGGAATGGAAATATATAATCAGAAAGAACTCGTAAGAGGATACATCCACCAGGCTCAATAAAACTGAGTTACTATAAAAAATGTTTACATATTGCATTAAGGAGAATTACTGTATTTTGTATTTTATTTTATTTTATTTTGTTTATTGTATTAATTTCGTTATGCTTGTTTATGTAATCTTATTTTAACATATGTTCTAATATAATTTAAATTTGAACGTGTTCGAAAAGCCATTCATTCGAACGTCTTTAACCTGATGATGGCCCATGAAATGGGTTGAAAACGTTTGTTTGGCTTAATAAATGTGCTTTCTCAGTAGTAAGGTGTGTTGACTTTATAAGATATTTTATCACCAGTAGAAGGGACTGTCCGAATAATTTATACACAAAGTATCCCATAACTGGTATATATAAACTGTCTATTTTGTTGGTTTTACTAGAATTAGGCATACACTTGAGTACTATGGATGTAAGGAGGTTAGTTTGCCTGTCAGAGAATCCATGACAAACTGCAGTATGTCAGACCTCTTGTAATTCTTTTTTTTTCTTCAGTAAGTGTGGAGTGACAGGTGACTCTCCTTGTGAGAGAATATAGAGCAGCTAGTTTTATTGGACGTTGTCATATGATTGCCAATGAATTGATCAAAGTGTATTTGTGAAATACCCTCATGGCATGTAGGCACTCAGCATTATAGTTTATGATAAATAATAAAATCTTTATGGAAAATTTATACTTTTTTACAAGAAGTTATAGAAAGTTAATATTTTATTTACAGAAAAACTTTCTGTTCGTCCACTTCCAACTATGAATTTAATGACAAGATATCATCTCTTGTATAATTTGGGTATACAATATCTTCATATAGGATGCCCTGACAAAGCATTCGACTGTTTAATAGAAGTTGTGAGGATTTATCATGTTAATCCTAGACTTTGGTTGCGTCTTGCTGAATGTTGCATTCAGTTTACGAAACCTGTAAGTTTTACAAATGTTGCTTTCTGAAAATCTAGCCATTGTTATTTATTTACATTTCTTTATAGGAAAGTTCACTTGACTTTCATTTAAATGAACGGAAGAAGGACATGGTACAAAAAGTTGTTGGCGGGGGTATTCATAGAAAAATTATCTTATCACCGTATCTTTCAAATAATTATAAAATTAGGTTAGTGAAGATGGTCCCTTTTATGAACAATTTTACATTTGAACAATATTAAGTTATAAATTTGCACATATATACATGAATAGAAGTTAAATGTAATATTTTTATTTGAATTTATTTGTAGTGATTTAGATCAAACATCAGCCATGCCAACTCCAACCTTGGAGTTTGCAGCATTTTGTCTTCGCAATGCCCTTATGCTTTTACCTGAAGAGCAGTCATCTGGTATGTCAAGTCAGGGAAGTGTTGGTGATGAATCAGAGGCATTTCATCCACTTGATAATAATACTTCCATTATAGCTTTACCTTCTAATCCTATTCAAGGAAATGAGATTGCTTCCTTAAGGTGAACTCGCATTCTAATTTATATAAATTATGTTTTCCCTCAATTAAAATTGCATTCTTTGCAGAAATTCTATTCTTATTGCAAGTTCTTATGTTGCATTATGCTTAGGAGATGTTGTTGTTGCTCTAAAGCATGCTGAAACATTACTTCTACAACCCAGAATCTCTGGAGCTCATAGGTTTATATATTTTTTCTAATTATTTTAAAATTTAATATAAATTACTTACTTAATTTATTTTGCTTTTATAGATTATTAGCACATTTGTATGCAGCAGAAGCTTTGATATTGATGGATCATATTGCAGAAGCCATTCAACATTTGAATCCAGATCAAATAAAGGATGTATCATTTACATTACCATTTTCATCTGAAGGTGATTCCAAACCTAATGACAAACCAGAAGAAAATAATAAAATCTATGGAAATTCCCAAAGTTTGTTTTAATTATTTTTTTCCCTTTTAAAAATTTTATAATTTTAGAATATTTAGAAAATAAAAACAATTTTTTTTAATTAGACTGGTTGCCGAATACAGTGAATTCTGCAAGAATGATTATGATATATAACATGGCAGTGGCATATACACTAAGAGGAGAATTAGAGAAAGCAGGAGAAAATTTACGTTTGGTGAGTGCCAATTATTATTCAACAATTATCTTTAAAACAGAATCTATAAAGATTGCTGTCTACATCAAACTAATTGTTTTTTAATCATTGTTGTCATTTAGCATAGAATTACAGAATATGTTTGAAATTATGAAAACCAAAGCAGTAACATTGGTAGGTAATAAAGAATATAAATCTAATGAAGGAAAAACTAAAGAAGTAAAATTACAATTTGGAGAAAGCTAGGATAATGAAACAACTTTAACTAGCAAAATATTGCATTTTAGATCGTTTTTAATGTAATATGCAACTGTTTATTATCAAAATTGAAAAATGCATTAAAATGTACGAAGAAGTTTTACAACATTAGTCTGATTGACTGCTTTAAACATTAAATGTTAATTGTTTTTAATCATTATTTGCTCACAGTATAGTAGTTTAAATTGCTGGCATCTCTTACTTCAGTTACATGCTGGATGAATCACTATTATTTAATAATAGTAATCATACTTGATAAATTTTTGAGTTAAACTTTTTTAACTGGTTTAACACCAGAGGCAATAAAACCAGAATTTCTGTCAATGTTATGCCATAAAAATTTTTAAATTTTTTTAACGTCTCTGGAATAATTTAATTTTTTAAATAATTAACTAGCTATATAGTTCTATGTTTTTGAGCAGTATTTTGTGTTCAAAGTATGTACAGGATTCAAAATTATGAACATAGAATATTTACATTCTGGCCATTAATGGTGATGTTTACATTCATTATATTATTTGAACAATATCTGACCACTTGAAAATTTTTGCAATGAACACCTTGATGAAGAATAGTGAGATTGTTTGTTTTCTTAGTGTACCAGCTTCAGAGAAGATCTACGTGTTTACTGAGTTGATCCAATACCTTCCTTAACCAACTTTTATTTGTAATTTCTAATTTGAAATGCAGGAGAAATGAGGAGGATGCTGATTGTGAATTAAAATTTAATGTTGAGTATAATTTGGAAAAGACAAGAATACATGATAATATATTAAAATAATTAAAAATTAAATTTAATGTATACATGTGGTGAATGGCAACACAGGTCAAGTGTATGGTGGCAGGAAAAANGCTATGCAATTAGAAAATGTAATGTCTGTCGTATCCAACTACATAGTGATGTTTTTATTGTGTTTAAAGTCACTTAGATTTTACAAATAGGTGAGCCGTTCACAGCCCGGCACACTCATTTGTAAAATCTAAGTGACTTATACAACATTGAATTCATATAAAACGGAATAAACAACAGTGTTACAGGGGGGGTCGACTGTAGTAATTAATTTCTTTTTATTTATTTATTTAATATTTGCAGACTAAAAATTTACAGGTCACAAGGTGTTAATTAACTACTATGGCCCGCGGAAAAAACGTAAAATTTATTCTGGCCCATGTTATAAAAAAGGTTGCCCACCCTTGTACTAGATATTAAAAAAAATATTTTGATTTGTAACACAAAGTTAAAACAAATTACAGTAGAACCTCGATTATCCGGATTGTTCAAAACAAACAAAAATTTTACGAATTTGCTGATTTGCACTTGGCGAATTACGATACTGTTTATGTACGTGATGGAATGCATAACTTTTTTTGTTTCAACAACGTCTCACCCGGCACAGTGGCCATAAACTTAAATATATTTTGTGTCGTAATAAAAATATAACTTGACATACGTATTTATTAGTGATGTAACGAATATTCGGTTACTATTCGGTATTCGGCCTATTTTTCACTATTCGGCTGAATACCGAATATTTAACCACTATTCGGCTGAATACCTAAAAACAGGAGTAAGAAATAACAAAAACACAGTAAATTAATCATTTTGGTATTTAGATTTAATGTTATCGAGTTAGTGTTGTTTGTTTATACTGTATTTATTTATAACTTGTAACATGCACAAAATAAAAAAGAAAATAATATTAGTCACATGTATTCACAATTTATAATTACAAAGATCAGCACACGTACACGTCTACCATTGGAGAATCCTCGCACATCTGAAGGTCTGACCCTGCCTATCCTTCTTTTTAAGCGCTTGTCTTTGCTCTTCCATTTCTCTTTCCTCTATCGCTCTAATCCACGTATGCCTGTGCATACATCATAATACGTGCGCACAATACTTTCGATTCGTCACTTTTCCGTCGTAGAGTTCCCATTTTACAATTACGTGACTCAGCCTGGTGATAATGGAGAAAAGAGACAGATAGGACGTTGATATAAGTCACAGTTATGATTTCACAGATTCGAGACAGCTTGATAGCCCGAATGGCCCCAGGCTTTCGCTCGTGGATGCTAAGTGACTTTCATTACAAGCATTTAACTTTCCGAAGTCTATGACAACAATTGTTTGGCATTGACGGCCGCGAATTTCGTGCCAATAAGCTGCCTCGACTTGTTCGATTATGTTATTGACTCAATTTCATATTTATTTTCACATTTTCACTTCGCAGTCCTTCTCTGTTCTTTTTCCGTTATTTACACATGTAGGTCATTTCATTGTTATCCACATTTGATATCATCATTTATCACATACTTCCATGACACTCTTGTCTGTCC